TGTTAGGGATACCTCAGTTCCTTGCACAATGAAGTACTTGATCGGTCGCTGCAACTGACAGCCAGCATGTTGTATTGGCTGCTGATGTAGCGATCTATTTGTTTTATATATTAAGTTTATTAGTTTATATATATTAAGATTGTTAGGGATGCCTCAGTTCCTTGCACAATGAAGTACTTGATCGGTCGCTGCTACTGACAGTCAGCATGTTGCATTGATTGCAGATGTAGAGATCAATTTGTTTTATATATTAAGTTTATTAGGAATGCCTCAGTTCCTTGCACGATGGAGTACTTGATCGGTCGCTGCTACTAACAGCCAGCATGTTGTATTGGCTGCTGATGTAGCGATCAATTTGCTTTATATATTAAGTTTATTAGTTTATATATATATATATATATTAAGATTGTTAGGGATGCCTCAGTTCCTTGCACAATGCAGTACTTGATCGGTCGCTGCTTGTACTGACAGTCAGCATGTTGTATTGATTGCAGATGTAGCGAACGCGTTATCAATCGCACCACCAGCCACAGGCGACACCAGCGACGTCAGAGCAAATGCGGTCTTGCATGCGAGGGCCGAACTAAGAATAATTTCAATTAATAATAATGATTTTCATGGCAGTGAAGCAAATATAACTTCGAGAAAATTTATTGAATTTAGTAGCCTGAACATTGACTAAGCTTGAAATCTTCAATGTTGACTTCCCGGAGCCGGGACGGTTCCAGGCTGGAAGAAGACCTCTGGGGCCATACTTTCAAAACTCGCTAAGTAAACGTAAGTACTTACGCACTATTTTCTTGTCTATGATTGGCAGATTTAGCTTGAAAGGCCGTCAATGATTGGCTGATGAACTTACGATCTCTTAACTTTTATGTAAAGTATAGACCTCTGTGCCGAGGTCTCCTTCAGCGCCTCGTCGTAACCACACCACGCCGCTGCCACTGCAGCAGGAAGCGGTCAACTCCGCCATCCTGCTGCAGCACTTATGGATAGCTCGCAGCGATACATTCCTTTTCTGCTTCTTGCTCTTTTGAATATTGCTTAGCTTCATGTATCATGCATCTTCTTAGTTGTTGTGTGAGAATGGTTAGAGTTGGACTGAGACGTGACAAAGAGCCTGCATATATATATCAACTGTTACTTCCATGCGTTTATCGCATTGATAAAAATATTGCTTAGCTTCATGTGTCATGCATCTTCTATTGCTTAGCTTCATGTATCATGCATCTTCTATTGCTTAGCTTCATGTATCATGCATCTTCTTAGTTGTTGTGTGAGAATGGTTAGAGTTGGACTGAGACGTGGCAAAGAGCCTGCATATGTTTCAACTGTTAGTTCCATGCTCTTATCGTATTAATAAAACGCAACTCTCATTCTTTCAATTAACTATGTGAATGAAATACTATTTGATTTAGTATTTTTAGATTATCCGTCGGGCTTCGGTGCGGCCGATTCTGTATTTTCATAACGACCAATAATTTTCATAACGACCTTGGTCCTTAATTATTATTGGCGGTCGTTTCTTAAGATTTTAATCGCCATGCAGGTCAGTAGTTACGTCATTAACACAATTTGTTGTATTCTACGCAGGCTATGCTTTATCTTTCTCAGAGTAGAAATTTTCTCTAAATGAAATTGGCAGCTGGTGCAATGGTTTCTAAATTTGAAGACTCATTTCTGAATTAAATTATTTTACATTGTGAATTACACCAGCGTTTGAATTGAGTCTGAATGATAGATTTCCCTGTGTATAATTTACAATTTAATTTTTGTTTAATTGTATCACGACGACCAAATACATTTGAGGGCAGTGATTAATGAGCCTCCGAGGTTGAACATACCAATGGAATTTATCTGAAAATTTAAATATTATGCAAACAAGGAATTACACTTTGTATTCCACTAAATGAAACTCGTGTACTTAAAGCTTGAAATTTAAAAAATAACTTTGAATAGCAGTGCAGGCATTCGAAACCACTTCACCTGCGATTACTTCACCTTTTGAAAGAACAGTTCACGTGTGGTTTCTCACTAATTGGAAGTTGTTTATTATCACAACCCATTGTTTTTGCACCATCTTTTTTAATATGTAAGTCTGTTGAAAGAGAGCACTGGAAGCAGCAAAAGTGGCGTTGAGGTTTATGCAGTATTTGGTTAAACGGTTGCCAACGTGGACGAACTTCCACCTTTTATTTGAGCAAGATTCGAGACGCCCGCGACTCACCGATGATCTGCATTACCTATGTGTCACCCAATGAACATACTACATATGAAAGCACAATCCCAAAAACATCTATCACGTGTGACACTACGGAGCTACTGGATTACATGCCAACCTAGAGCGGAGAGCCACTGTGATGCCCGTTTATTGAGCAAGATTCGAGACGTCCGCGACTCGCCGAAGCTTTAAAAAACATATGATATAAAAAAATGAACACATTACATGTAAAAGCGCTATCCCAAAAACCTCTATCACGTGTGACACTACGGAGCTACTAGAATACATGCCAACCTAGAGCGGAGAGCCACTGTGATGCCCGGTGATGCCCGTTTATTGAGCAAGATTCGAGACCTCCGCGACTCGCAGATGCTCTTCATTGCTCAAGTGTCACCCAATGAACATACTACATATGAAAGCACAATCGCAAGAACCTCTATCACGTGTGACACTACGGAGCTACTGTAATACATGCCAACCTAGAGCCACTGTGATGCCCGGTGGTCGGACGTATAGCTGCTACCCCATGGGCGCGACACAAGCTAGTGCTTGGGTGGAGCCACTATCTGCCAGTGCCGCCGTTCAGTGAAAGTTTGCCGCTGCTGCAGCTCTTAATATGGCGGGCAGTGCATTATTTGGTCCTGCTGTTCATTTCTGGCGCAATTCTTAACTATTATTCGGCGACTCATTAACTTGACTAATCGTATACTTTGTGAACGCAGTGTTTCTTACGCTTTAATTCAACGATCCTAAGCATGCATCAAAGCTGAAAAATTCATACATATTACTCTAAAATGTTGGTTAAGTATAAGTTACTCTCATTGCCGGTATGCGTTAGGTTCTACTAAAGGGAGGCATTCCATTTCATACAATGGGCGTAATTACTTACGTACGTATCTCCTATCAAGTGAACTTATCAACTTATCTTTCCCGTACGGTGCTATAATCCGCCCTGTGTTTAGGAACATTGAAGGATTAAACTGAGACGAGAGTCCTGCCATGTACAGCTCGTGTGTGGTGGCAAGCAACCTTAGCGATGGTTACAACAACAACGGTGGTAGAGTCTGTGATTTACAACAATAACAACGATGGTAGAGTCTGTGATTTACAACAACAACGATGGTAGAGTCTGTGATTTACAACAACAACAACGATGGTAGAGTCTGTGATTTGCAACAATAACGATGGTTACAACAAGCAACATTAGCTACAACAAGCAACATTAGGGATTAAACTGAGACGAGAGTCCTGCCATGTATAGCTCGTCTGAGGTGGCAAGCAACATTAGCGCTGTGGTGGATAAGTGTGGGCAGGTGGATATATGTGGGTGTGGGCAGGTGGATAAGTGTGGGCAGGTGGATAAGTGTGGGCAGGTGGATATATGTGGGTGTGGGCAGGTGGATAAGTGTGGGCAGGTGGATAAGTGTGGGCAGGTGGATATATGTGGGTGTGGGCAGGTGGATAAGTGTGGGCAGGTGGATAAGTGTGGGCAGGTGGATATATGTGGGTGTGGGCAGGTGGATAAGTGTGGGCAGGTGGATAAGTGTGGGCAGGTGGATATATGTGGGTGTGGGCAGGTGGATAAGTGTGGGCAGGTGGATAAGTGTGGGCAGGTGGATATATGTGGGTGTGGGCAGGTGGATAAGTGTGGGCAGGTGGATAAGTGTGGGCAGGTGGATATATGTGGGTGTGGGCAGGTGGATAAGTGTGGGCAGGTGGATAAGTGTGGGCAGGTGGATATATGTGGGTGTGGGCAGGTGGATAAGTGTGGGCAGGTGGATAAGTGTGGGCAGGTGGATATATGTGGGTGTGGGCAGGTGGATAAGTGTGGGCAGGTGGATAAGTGTGGGCAGGTGGATATATGTGGGTGTGGGCAGGTGGATAAGTGTGGG